CTGCGCTCAAGTAACGCGCGAAGCCGCTCGACGGCAACAAAGCGTCGACCCTCGTTTCTATATTTGTACAACACAAATTTGTACCTTAATAATAGAAAAATAGAGATGAATATGCTGTAGGCGAAAAATATGACGCGTCGTCGTGACGCTTCGACTCTGCGCCAGTGTGAGTTGAGCCTAAGTGTTTTCTCCTTATACCTTCACTTTTAAAGTAAAAGGTCTACCGGCTGCGCGCCAAAATTAAGTTATTTGCCAAAATTTTAAGTAAAGACCACGTTAAATGCAAGACACCAAATTGTTATAATTTACAGGGCTTAACAAAAGCACCACTGCTTAGCAGGAATAACAAGCAAGTGCGGCGATAGGGTTCAAATTTTTTATCGACAAATGTTTGTCTGACCCGGTCGGTCGACTTTCGGTTTTTAATACAACGCCACGTTTACCATATTCAACCGCCTAAGTTGAACGTTTTCCAATTTATTGTTTTCAATCAGAGGTCACAATTATTATGCGAATGAATTTCGGTAGACGCTCCTCGATGCAAAGGTGGTAATTTTTTGTGGTAATGCAAAGGTGGTGGTAAATTAGTAGAAACTTTGCTAGTGTAAATGATAAATAACTTTTTTTTGTACTACATATAATCTTGTATACAAATTGTAAACTGTTTGTTTCTCAAGTAATAAATAAAAATATTTTTTTATCGGTCGGCAAATTACTTTAGTCTTCGAATTACGCACAAAGACGTCATAGTTTTTATTGATGGATGTGAATTTTGATATCTCACTCGACAATGTATAATATATATTTCTGTAACTTGACATCTATTAGGATGTAGCGATAAAAATGGCTTGAAATAAAAATTACGTTTGTACATACGCTGTTAAATAAATTATTTACATAAATTGGGTTTTTTTTTATCCTAGGACCATAACCCCCAAACGATGAATATTTACGCATTATTTGTTTTAAATTTAATTTAATTTAACACACACACTCATAGCCCCGCACTTACCACTAGGCAAACCCTGTGTCGCGGGTGCCATGGACACACATATAGACAATCACAATTACACCCTAACTCACGATATATAAATGTAGACTATACAGATATATCTCCCTGTCTGAGAATCGAACCTGGGACCTCCGATCTCGACGGGTTTGAATGGTTGGAAATTGTTAAACGAAAGGGAGCAGTGGAGGATTTCGGAAGAAAACTTTATCCAGCAGTAAAACACAAAAAAGGATTATTGAGTATGTAGGCTATTAATATTAGGGGTTAAAGTATGAAATTGCCGTTTTATTGCAA